GATTCATTATATCATTACCTTGACTAAGTTCGATGATGAGAATTTTCTGCTCAGACTAAGGAGCGATAAGCAATTTGATTGGTCAAGACTTTGGATAGTAACAACTCTGCTTTTAAAGCTGAACTCCGGTTACAATAATACCGAAATAATTAAATAATAAAAAAAGTTAAACACCCCGATCTCACTTCCACTGGAAGTTCCAGTTTGTTTCTTGTCAGCCAGCTGTACACATCCGGTGTTATTCTCTACACACGCTTCACTGATTGCTCTATTTTTTCCCAACAGTATACCAACTAATTGAAGATTGCAAATCCATAAACCTGGTCTGCCCTCTGTTTGCCTGCCCAATAATTTTTGGTTATTTGAACGAGGCAAGAATATTCATTCTCTTTGATACACTCACTCTGTTCGTTTGACACCTGACTCTCTGTTAACTGATAAGCTGGTGATTTGGCGACGAACAGTATCTGGTCAGCTCTATTTATCTCGACGACCAATGTCTGAAATACTGCCAGACTGCATTTCCGGCAGTCTATTTCTCATATTGTGACGAAAATATTCATTCACTTTGATTCACTCAATCCATTCATTGACACTTTCCTCTCTGGTTGGATAAACTAGTGATTTGGCGACAGGCGGTATCTGGTAAGCTCTATTTATCTTGTCGATCAGTGCTGGAATTACTGCCAGACTGCATTTCCGGCCGTCTATTTTTCAAATTTTCGGAGCCTTCCTTGAGGTTCGCAAGTCCATTTGTTTGACACTTTCCTCTCTGGGTCTGGGGTCGAATAAAGTAGTGATCAGACGACAGACAGTATCTGATAAACTCTATTTTTCAAAATTTGCTTGGGGAGGTCCCCAATAGCCTTGATTAGAACTTGCTACTTTGGCGCGCATGAGGGGCTTCGTTGAGGTTCGTAAGTCTGTTTGTTTGACACTTTCTTCTATGGTCAGATAAACTAATGATCAGGCGACGGACGGTATCTGGTCAGCTCTATTTATCTCGACAATTGGTGGCTAACCGAATACTGTCAGACAGCATTTTCGGCAATCTATTTTACAAATTTATTAGGGGAAGAGCCCCCATACCCTCCATAAGGACTCCCTACTTTGGCGCTCGTGAGCGGGCTTCGTGGAGGTTCGCAAGTCCATTCATTTGACACTTTATCTCAACGTTCAGTGCCTGAAATACTGCCAGACTGAATTTCCGGCAGCCCATTTTTCAAACATTTCTGTGGGAAGCCCCCCCCCCTCCTTACCCTAGTTGAAGCTTGTGCCTTTGTCCCCTTAACCTTGGACTTTGCTCCAGCTTTGTCCCTCCAACGACCGGCGCCACCACTGCTCAACCGTCCCATAGGTGGTCTTAATAGAGGGATTTCACTGTAATTTTAGTAATAAAAATAGTCTTTCACCATCAATGAGTAATGATATTTAGTAAGCATGTTGCTTGGGTACTGTACTATCTAATTAGATGTAAATTATTAAGCTTATAGTATAGTTCAAACCAGTGATGAGATTTCAAAATTGTTCTTGTCGGACATTTTCCTGAAAATAAAGGGGCATAACTCTTATCAGTATTTAAGCAGGCCTTTTCAGACCACAATTAAAAATCATGTGTCAATATTCAAATTCATACGTAATAAACAATAGATGCACCTGGTTATTTTTCATATTTAATTCCTGTAAGGTATTCAAATTTAGTCAGTAATATTCCTACAAAATTACTTGTTGTCATAATACGATAGAATGAAAGCATGCCGACCCGTACCTGTTTCAAATTCCTCCAAAATTACCGTATTTTTCGGGGTATAAGTCGATACATTTTTCAGCGAAAGTCCGGCATTCGTCTCATACTCCGTTTCGACTTACATACGGAAGTTTAAAAAAATGACATCCCAAAATTTATTTGGCAGTAACTGTCGCTCTACCACATTGAGCGAGTGACATCTGCTAAAAAAATCGCAATCGACCCTAGCACGCACTATTGTCTAAAACAATTAACTACAATCGAAATATTCGTTAACATTTCTTAGTGTGTTTGTTTATTTATTTATTTAAAAACATAAACCCCATTCAAAATATACTATTCAAAAAAAGTAGGGGATATTTGATTTTGGGGGCATAATACTAAAATATGCAAATGACTACGAAAAAAGTCACTATAGAACCTAACAGAAGAAACATTTCCAGTTACATGTGACGCCCAAACGCACCAATAGCTACCGCATGGAATGCAGGTGATGCTTGGGATCATCATGGGGGTCCAACCCAAGATTTGCACGACTCTGACTTTGAATGTTACAGTCATTGTGGCATTGAATTCCAGGGTGGAAACATCAGTTTAATTGTTTTAGTGACCAGAAAACAAATTTTGATATGCGTCGGCTTACCCAAAATGAAAGGTTACGTGCCCTTGGCATGCTACAGATCGGCACAACACAGGCGGTTGTGGCGCGGACGATGAATGTTTCTCAGTCTGTCATAAGCAGGCTATGGTCCAGATACCGTGATACACAATCTGTACAGGACAGACCACGCTCAGGTCGACCAAGGGCGACAACTCAAGCCCAGGATCGATTTATCCGTACCTTGGCCTTGAGAAATCGTGTCATCACAGCAAATCAGATCAGCGCTCGTCTTCAAACAGACACTGGTGTGAGAGTGAGTGGCCAGACGATTCGGAATCGACTGCATAGGGGCCACCTTCGCTCCCGACGTCCTCGCGTGATCCCTTGTTTGAGAGATCATCACATTCAGGCAAGACGTCGTTGGTGTAGGGATCGTCAAACACTGGGATAATCGACGCTGGAGCAATGTGATGTTTTCAGATGAGTCAAGGTTCACTGTTGATTTTTTGGACAGACGTAGGAGGGTGTGGCGTCGTCGAAACGAGCGCTTCCAAGACGTTAACGTCATCAGACATGATCGATTTGGGGGTGGTTCTGTTATGGTGTGGGGAGGCATCACTGTTGCTGGAAGAACGGCTTTACATGTTGTTGCAGGGCGTGTTACAGGCCAGTACTACCGGGACAACATCTTGGCAGTCCATGTTGTGCCGTTCGCACGACGTCATGGCCGCCGTTTCATCTTCCAGGATGACAACGCAAGATGTCACAGGGCCAGGATCGTTACAGGTTACCTCCAACAACAGAACATCACCACATTACCTTGGCCAGCACTGAGTCCCGACCTCTCTCCCATCGAGCATGTCTGGGACATGCTTGGACAGAGGTTACGTCAACGTCAACAACGTCCTGCCAATGTCCAAGAACTTGCTGCTGCGTTGCAACAGGAATGGGACAATCTGGACCAAAATGACCTTAGACGTCTCATTAGGAGTATGCCACGTCGGATCAATGCTTGTTTGGCAAACAGAGGAGGATTTACCCGTTACTGACTTGGTTGTGATGCTGTGGTAACTTTGCTGTTTGACCCCGGGTATCATTTTACCCTTATAATGGTCAGTCTGTGCCTTACTTAGTCTAACGATCATTTGGAATAAATCGATGAATGTGAACTTCATTTCATTTTGTCATTTGTTTCTTCGTCAGTTTCATTAGGTGACTTTAATAACACTTAAAAATCAAATATCCCCTACTTTTTTTGAATAGTATATGATCTTAAATCCAGGAATATGCCATCAAAATAATTTCACGTGTCTCGCGAGATTTCTACTTTCATTTCAGTGCGATCAACAAACAGTCTAGTATTTATCGGAAATGCGTATGTGTTAAATAGCTTTATTTAAACCGACATTATGCAAGAGCTAAATCTGCCAATTGCGGGTCTTTCTTTAGGTTGAAATGTTATCTAAATTATTAATTAGACATAAATAAACTTATTCAGACAATAATCAACTCTTGATGGCATCGCTAGCCTGCAAAATTTACTGGATTATGATCCCATTTGCTGCTCGACTTCCATACATCATTTAATCATGAAATGGGTAATCGAGACTATGTTTTTTATCGTACAGACTTTAGTAATGGTGATCGAGGCTAGGCCAAAATTTTAATCGCTTAATTCTCGGTTCACAGGGGAAGCAATGACTTCTGTTTAAGATTAGATTGATCAATTGTCCGACAAAGGATTAAGTCAGTCAATCAAGGCAAATTAAGTAGTTAATCAAGGTAGGTGTATAGACGGTATAACACAATAAATACGTTGATCACTTAATTACCTAATCAATCCAGTATATTATCAACGGTAATTGGGTTGAGTGTTAGTTATACACTCAGTAAACTATACTAATGTCCAAAGGAAAGTATACACTGTGCATTTTGTGCTGCATCAACCAAAGTCGTTTTTCCATGGTATACGGTATTTGGGTAGATTGTCAATTTGTTTCACATTTTTATTTTGCTTAGAAATGGTGAGTTTGGACGCAGAGACAAACTCAGTAATGCTTTATCAAATGTTTTTAATCTAAACAAAACTTAGTCATACTTTTAGTGTGTATACTTTCTTTTGGACATCAGTATATATTATTTTTGGAATTTTGAATATTATTCACCATGTCTTGATGTCCGATTGGGCATATTCCCGGTCAGACAATTTTGGGGCGTTTGGAAAATAGCGTCAGACAAATCCTGAATATACGGGCGAAATCACATCCATGGTTCAAACTTGGAAGGGACAAATTTAACTTTTATGTCCTCTTCTTCTAAACCACTGACATTGTTAGATTTATTTAAATGAGAAACTTTTATTAATGGGAAATTTAGACATTTTCTTATTACAACTTATACAATGTTTTGTACTGTAAGAATGGTGGTTTTCAGTAGAAATGCAGATGTGTATTAAAAAAAAGCAGCTACGCCCATAGGAGTGGCTGCTAATACAGTATCTATTGAAAGTCTAATCCAACCCACCGAAGGTGATTAGGTCCATATGCTCTGTTAAATCTCAAGATTATTGCTAATCGACATATTCTGTATCTTATCACATAATTATGAGATGTTTGTATATGTATTTATAAGCTTAAAATTATATTGGAACAGAATTGGTCGCTCTTGTCTGGAAGCTGTAGATAGAGTTGTATACCAGTCAGAGAATCTTATTAATCGTTTGATAATAGAACTTGAGACAGGTGGTAATGTTAGATTTGAGGATGGATCAGCAATAGATACATGGTTAGTATAGTTCAGATTATTTTATATACATCCACATTCAAATCTGTGGTCCAATATTGTCATCACCAGTGATGGGATTTCAATTTATTCTTGTCAACAAAATATTCAAATTCGTGCGTAATAAAAAAGTAGGTGCACCTCGTTATTTTTCATATTTAGGAGTCATTCCATGAGAAAACCATGCAAAATCGTGCAGAATCGGAAAGATGAGGGGTCAGCGGATCGAGTTCATCTCGGGGGGAGATTTTATGGAGTATCCAAGACTTTACCGCCAGAAGGGCTGATCACATTTTCATAGTTTTTGAGAAATAGCCTCTGGGTGATTTTTGGCCAATTTCGACATTTTTCATGTCATTTTTGATCAATTTTCAGCCACCTATAGTGGCGAGTCTAGGGTTTGGATGAAAATCGTGGAAATTGGTGATGCTAGTGGAGGTCTTCCTGTGCCCCAATGTGAAGACCATAAAGTCGCACCTATTCTCTGGGAGTATTGATCAGCAAAATTGTAACATATGGCGAATAAAACAGAAAATATACACCTGCGAAGATTAGCTCTATTTTCTATGATGCGGGGGAAGGTCAAAATATTGAAATGGTTTTATGCACAGCTCGACACCCTCTATCGATATAAGAAATAAAATCTCTGTCACCTATCTTCAATCAATACGAAATCATAAGTCAATGTGAATTTTCCCTATTGAAAATCTCTCAATCTCTGAAATGGCCAGCTACTTTCATTCAGGGCAAGCCAGCTCTCTCCGTTTCTTCACCAAATCATTCGCCCGTGCTTGCTGGTAGGGGCTTGAAACCCGCTTGAGCAATACTAATTTCTTTGATGAAGCTTGGTATCCAATCCAAGATAGCCGGGCCCAAAAGCGCAGAAAATTGCGTTTTTTTCCTCATTTTTGGCCAATTAATGTGGTACATATCCCAGATATAAACATACGATTGAAAAAATGTACTAAGGACATTAAGGCCCACATTTAGCACATCACTTAGCAATAAGAGATGTGAGAACCGAACAGGAGCTGATTTCTTGATGGAGCAGCATCAAACCGAATATTCCAAAAGGATGCATGGTGGTACCATACTTAAGTTATGGGCTTCAGAAGTCCCCAAATTAGCTGCATTGGGTCTGATATAGCTGTAATACCTTTACTAAAGGCCAGCTCTCTTCTTTTTTTATACGCCCACATTGAAATGTGGTCGTATATTGTCATCGCCCCCGTCCGTCCGTCCTTTCGTATTGGCGTGCACGTAAAAGATCCCTTGGCAGTTGGAATTCGATATAAGAGTAGGCCGTAGCGCCGCTGCCCGGGCAAAATTTCCCTCATAGCACACTGTGTGGCGTATGCCGTCTTCAATTAGCCTAGGTTAGGTGCAGAAGAGTAGGACGTTAAACCCTATTTCATTTCATTTCCATCCTTTCGTCTGTGCTCTAGAGGCTAAAGTTAATATCCGATTGACTTTAAATTTATACACAGTGTTTAAGGTCATGAGACGAAGAAGTCTATTGATTTTCAGCAATTTCTGATCATTACTGCAAGAGTTATGGCCTTTGATCACTTCAAAAAATCTTGTGGACGCTCTAGGGGCTAAAGTTAATATCCGATTGACTTTAAATTTATACACAGTGTTTAAGGTCATGAGATGAAGAAGCCTATTGATTTTCAGTGATTTTCGATAATTACTGCCAGAGTTATGGCCCTTTATCACTTCAAAATATCTTGTGGACGCTCTAGAGGCTAAAGTTAATATCCAATTGACTTTAAATTTATGCACAGTGTTTAAGGTCATGAGACGAAGAAGCCTATTGATTTTCAGCAATTTCCGATAATTACTGTCAGAGTTATGGCCCTTGATCACTTTGAAAAATCTTGTGGACGCTCTAGAGGCTAACATTAATATCCGATTGACTTTAAATTTTTCAGTGTTTAAGGTCATAAGACAAAGAAGTCTATTCATTTTCAGTGATTTTTGATAATTACTGCCAGAGTTATGGCCCTTGATCACTTAAAAAAGTCTTGTGAATGCTCTAGAGGCTAAAGTTAATATCTGATTGACTCTAAATTCATACACAGTGTTTGAGGTCATAAGACGAAGAATCTTATTGATTTTCAACGATTTGCGATAATTACTGCCAAAGTTATGGCCCTTGATCACTTTAATAAATAATGTGACACTCTAGAGGCTAAAGTTATTATCTGATTTATACACAGAGTTTAAGATCTTGAGACGAACAAGTATGTTGATTTTTTAATGAATTTTTATGACTTGAAGAGCTAAATCCATGATGTTAAAAGTTTTGTATACTAAACGTTAGCATTGGGCAGAACTTTATAAAAACCAGACAAATTCTAATGGTTTTCTGATAACTACTTAATGAGTTGTTACTCTTACTCAGATTTTAATGTATTATAAATGTTTCATTACCGAAAAAAGTAAAAATATGCGACAACTCTTGTTGACTGCCCGGACAATATAGCTGCTGTGGGCATATGTTTCGTTGCCTGGCAACCTATCTTTAGATCTAGTTAAGGTCACAATTATCATTCGATTTAAAAAAACGTTTGAATATATCACCGTTAAACCATAATTTTGATTTGAGTTCGGATTTTAAAAACCGTTTCAATATATCACCATTCCACCATAATGAAGGTTGAATTCGAATTTCGGGAAAATCAAAATGAAACTGCCCGACAAAGTAGCCGCTTTTGATATTTGCGCATTTCAGACCATAACTTTCTGGATTGTACAAAAAATCCTGTTTGTTTTTAGCTTGTTCTCCATCCATCTCTTGCAAAATGTGGGCGTACCCTGCCTGACAGCCGCCGCTTTTATACGTCCACATTGAAATGTGGTCGTATATTGTCACTGTAACCCAGGTATCGTTTAATCTTGTGTATCTAGCACTAATTTCTTTCACATTCGTTTAATATCCAATTTTTGTTTAAAAATTTGTAAAAACTGTTTAAAATCACCATAAATCGTTTAATTTGTACTTCTGTCCAGTTTAAAGCTGACCATTCAATTTTGATAATGAGTGTCCAATTTATAAGTGTTTAATTTCTCAATCATTGTTAAAAAATAAACAACCCAATTGATTAATGATGTATAATGATTAATTTTTGAACAGTGATCAGGAAATTAAATACTTGTAAATTGGACACTCATTATCAAAATTAATCAGTCAGCTTTAAACTGGACACATGTACAAATTAAACGATTTATGGTGATTTTAAACAGTTTTTATGAATTTTTAAACAAAGATTTGATATTAAACGACTGTGAAAGAAATTAGTGCTAGATACACAAGATTAAACGATACCTGGGTTACAGTGTGTTGTCGCCCCCGTCCGTCCGTCGGTCCGGCGTCCACAATTGCTTGTGGACGCTCTATAGACTAAAGTTAATATCCGATTGACTTTGAATTTATACACAGTGTTTAAGCTTATGAGACGAAGAAGCCTATTGATTTTCAGCAATTTCCGATAATTACTGTCAGAGTTATGGCCCTTGATCACTTTGAAAAATCTTGTAGACGCTCTTGTGGAGTTATGGCCCTTGATCACTTCAAAAAATCTTGTGGACGCTCTAAAGGTCAAAATTAATATTAGATTGACTTTAAATTTATACACAGTGTTTAAGGTCATGAGACGAAGAAGCCTATTGATTTTCAGCGATTTCCGATAATTACTGCCAGAGTTGTGGTCCTTGATCACCTTGAAAAATCTTGTGAACGCTCTAGAGGCTAAAGTTAATGTCTGATTGTCTTTAAATTTATACACAGTGTTTAAGGTCATGAGACGAAGAAGTCTATTGATTTTCAGCGATTTCTGATAATTACTGCCAGAGTTATGGCCCTTGATCACTTTGCAAAATCTTGTGGACGCTCTAGAGGCTAAAGTTAATATCCGATTGACTTTAAATTTATACACAGCGTTTAAGGTCATGAGACTAAGAAGCCTGTTGATTTTCAGCGATTTCCAATAATTACTGCCAGAGTTATGACCCATGATCATTTTGAAAAATCTTGTGGACGCTCTAGAGGACAAAGTAAATATCCGATTGACTTTAAAGGGACTACCCCGAATTGAACAGAGTCTCAAAAATAAAAGTCTTAGTACGTATGATATTTAAGCACCAAATTATAGAGGAATGGTGTATTTACCTTGACTCAAAGTTTGGGCGTGAACGTCAAAACTGCTTATCGGGACATGTAACCCTTTTAAGATTTTGGGTCAATTTTTTTGTTGGGTGACCTGATAATTGATTCCCGTTGCTTTAGAGGTCTATACAATGAATGACCCATGTGCTGTACTTGATAACGAAAGGTAAATTTCGCCTACACATACATTTTATAAAATTAAAGCCTGGTTTTATCCAGACACCGCATAATACAGCTTGGGACACCATTCTCCATTTCCATATGAAGACTGACATGTTTAAGTTGTTGAAAATATATCACATATATTGAGCTAGTTGCTTGGCCCTAAGGTAGAGGATTTTTAGGGATTTTAACACAAAATTAAGCAGTTTTATTTTCCAAAATATTATCGGGATTGGCCCTTTAAATTGATACAGTGTTTAAGGTCATGAGACGAAGAAGTCTATTCATTTTCAGCGATTTTTGATAATTACTGCTAGAGTTATGGCCCTTGATCACTTCACAAAATCTTGTAAGTTAATATACGATTGACTTTAAATTGATACACAGTGTTTGAGGTCATGAGACAGAATCATATTAATTTTCAACTATTTCCGATAATTTCTGCCAAAGTTATGGCCCTTGTGACGCTCTAGAGACTAAAGTTATCATCCAATTGACTTCAGATTGATACACAGAGTTTAAGGTCTTGAGATTTTCAATGAATTTTTATGACTTGAACAGCTAAATCCATGATGTTAAAAGTTTCATATACTAAACGTTAGCATGGGACAGAACTTTATAAAAACCAAACAAATTCTAATGGTTTTCTGATAATTACTTAATGAGTTTTAATGTATTATAAATGTTTCATTACCAAAAAAAGTAAATATATGTGACAACTCTTCTCCAATGAAGTAAGTCTATGGTGCAGTTCTGCTAAGTATTCGTCACAGGGGATATTAGTAAAGAGGTCTATTACATGGTATGATAGGATTTGTACATCTTTTGGCAGGTCTGTTGGCTTTTCGCAGAACTCTTTGGAATTTTTGATAAAGGATGTAGCTTCTTTGGTTAATGGAGAAAGAGAAAGAGATGGGGTTTAACGTCCACTCGACACAGACTAGGTCATTTCTGGACTAACATATGGTTTAATTTTATTTCAATAATTCGCTTACAAGTAGGGGTCTTTAGCAGTGGGAGGAAACCGGAGGACCCGGAGAAAACCCACGAGGCTTGACAGGCAACCCTACTCCTTGTCACGTACAACCAGGGATTCGAAACCACGCCAGTTGACTCAATGACAGGCCTTATGATACAGCGCGCACTTGCTAAAGATTCAGCCCCCCAACCCCCCCTAATGGAGAAAAACTCTTTTTTTTTTCTTTTCTTTCTTCTAATGGAGAAAAGAGTTTTGATAGGTAATGTGTGTTATAATGTACAGATTCTGTGGAGCATACTACTAAAAGTCTGGCTTTAATAAGGTTCTTAATCTTATGGGTTTTTATGGTGGCTTGGGCATATGGTGGTCTGGGATGGGATGGCTTAGGTTTGTAGAATAAGGAAAATGTTTAAGTTGCTTCTGCATATTATTTTTACTTCTAGGTTTAGTTCCTGTCAAGATCTAGTTTTATCCAGATTTTGTGCTGCTGATTATAGAGAGAAAGGCATTGTAGGAATTAAGATACATCAAATAGTTCGAATACATCATCGATTGTTACGGATTCAGTTTGACAACAAACTAGAAGATATGACAGAAGATAAAAATACTGAAGATTTTTTGTCAACGAAGTGAGCATTGATTAGTAAATATATGATGTTTCCTGATCCCGCACTGATAATGGGATTCTTCCTTCCTGATAAAGGCAACAGTTTTAAACAATTTCCATTCTGGAGTTTGGGCTAATATGTTGTCACTCTCAGCCTGTCGGTTCGTCAACAATTGGCTTGTTAATGCAATAGAGGCTACGTTTTTCAACAGATTTTCTTTAGATTTGGTTTGAGATCATGAGACAACCACCTATGGATTTTCAGCACTCCTCCACCTCTATTCTTGAGTTATTCCCTTTTCTGTAAACCTTAATAAGTGTCACAGCTCCATTGCCCTTGTTGGAAAAAAGTTGTTTTTTTCCCAATTTGTCAGCTTAACATCACATGGTGGCTATTTATTTTTTTGTCATATTTTAAACCTGTTTTGGAAGCAGACATCTTGTTCTCTTGTCAGATTTTGAAGAAACTTAAAATATAGGTTTATTTCCAAACGATCTCAGTTCCTTTCAATACTGGCATGTATCGGATCGAAACTTCATGGAATATGGCCGCTGATTGTACGCAAAATCATGTTTTTAGCCTGTGGACATTCTAGAGGTCATGATTTTCATCTGATTTTGATGAAACTTGAAATATATGTTTATAACCCAAAGATCTTGGTTCCTTTCAATATTCACGCATATCTGATCCTAACTTCCTGAATTATGGCCTTTGATTGTAAAAATCACGTTTTTAGCTTGTGATCCCTCTAGAGGTCACAATTTTTATCCGATTTAAAAACTAGCGGCTGCCAGGCAGTATACGCCCACATTTTCGAGAGATGGATAGAAAACCAGCTAAAGTTAAGTGAGTGTAGATCAAACATGCCGCTGGCAGAGAGTGTATTGAGGTGTTTAAGATGAATGTTATTCCCCACTATGTCGTTCTAAGGTTCTTACTAAATGTATATAACTTAACTGTGAAATAAGCCAAACCAATGATGAAATGGAATTAATAAAATAAATACACGATAGAACTCCAGTTAGTAAACCATAATAATGAACCATATCATGTCCCAAATAAATTATCTAATTTGTAGATCTGCAATTTGTCACATGATGGTCGAAAAATAATTTGTTTGGCTCTTTGATAGCAAATACAGCTAATGAGGCATTTTTACCCTGCCTCGTTCTGGACCAAATAACTGGTTCAAAAACATGACAACTATGTTTTGAAACTCCAGACAAACGTGGCATTGTTTTTACCACGTTACAACGTGGCAAAATTATGGCAAAAATTATAACACATTTTTGCCACGTTTGGACAAAATTGCCGAACAAGGCATTCTGAGGTTTACAGTGTTAATTTAAACTTTTAAGAATTTAACTTTTTAAGATATTAAATTTTCTCCTGATGGGTCCCGATGTTTTTGCCCAAAGAAACGAAGTAGTCCCGTGAGAAACAGAACTTATTAAGCATCGGGAGTGGTCTGGTGAATGTGCACTGATGCTTAGGCAATGGTCACAAACTTCCGGGAATGCCCCCCTGATGGGTCCCGATGTTTTTGCCCAAAGAAACGAAGTAGTCCCGTGAGAAACAGAACTTATTAAGCATCGGGAGTGGTCTGGTGAATGTGCACTGATGCTTAGGCTATGGTCACAAACTTCCGGGAATGCCCCCCCCCCCCCCCCCCCCCGAGCAATCACCATGAATCATCGGGGATGGCTCCCAATAACCGGGAAAGCTCTGGGGTACCTTTGCCGATAATCAAAATCATCGGGTGAATATTCATGTCGGGAGATCTCAATCTCTTGCGTGGTGGCATATCGGCGGCACCTATGAGAAGGTCCTACTGGGCATTTTTTGCATGAGCGATATACTACCGACTGAAATTGATGATGCCCCTGAGGCGCCCCGGTGTGAAGGGGAAGTCTCAGGGTCATCATGAGCCATGTTGAACCGTCAGGAGGACTCGGGAGAACTGCAAAAAATTTCAAATCTGGCATTGAAATTTTTTCCGATGTGTTCCCGACGTTTTGTCTGGAAAACAGGCCAGGAGGGCATGCCGGTAGCTTTTCAGATCGACGGGGAAGCTCTGGTGATGCTTCCCTGGAGCAGTGAAGCTTCAGCGAAATATTTTGCTTCAAATATACTGAAAGGTCGCCTGATAAGTCAGCAAGACATCGCCGATGCTTCGGAGTCGTTGCGGGCCATACAAAACCATCGGGAAGCCTGGAGATAACTGCTATAATTTTCAAAGCTAGTATTGAAAATTTGTGCAATGTTTACCCGACGGGGAAGCTCCGAGATTCTTCCTTGAAGCTTCCGCGAAATACTTTTTCCCCCCGAGGCATCCCCGATTTAAATATCCTCAAAGGTCCTCTGATACATCAGCAAGACATCGCCGATGCTTCGGTCATGCCCCGGGGCATATTTCGCGGAAGCTCCAGGGAAGCATCCCCGGAATTTCCTTGTGAATCCGGAAAGCTCTGGGGATGCATCCCGATCTATTTTCCTGAAAATGCAAGTATTGAAACTTTTCGCAGTTCTTCCCTGACCTCTGTAGCACCATGGGCCTTCTGTTAGACGTGGAGAGCGGGAGATCCTGATTGGTCGCCACATCCTACGTACGACCCATGCATCTTTTCTTACTACATATCTTAGTAGCCTTGTGATCGTTTAGAATTTGCCTCTAGCTGTCTTTTCATCTGCTTCGTTTTTCCATTTTTATACGCCCACATTTTCATGTGGACGTATTATGCCATCGCCCCTGTCCGTCCGGACGTCCACAATTGTTTGTGGACTCTCTACAGGTCACAATTCTTATCCGATTTTGACGAAACTTGAAATATAGGTTTATCCCCAAAAGATCTCGGTTCCTTTCGATATTCGCGCATATCGGACCGTAACTTCCTGAATTATGGCCCCTGATTGTACGAAAAATCGCGTTTTTAGCTTGTGGAGCCTATAGAGGTCATAATTTTTATCCGATTTAAAAAAAACGTATTATTATATCACCGTTATACCCTAAGGAAGGTTGAGTTCGAATTTCGTGAAAATCGGCCCAATATTGACAGACAAAATGGCCGCCGTTCGTTCTCAAATAGCGTAAAAATATGGTACATCAAGGTTGTGGACCCTATAGAGGTCACAATTTTTATCCGATTTTGTTGAAAATTGAAATGTAAGTTTATAACCCAAAGATCTCGGTTCCTTTCAATATTCGCGCATATCGGATCATAACTTCCTGAATTATGGCCCCTGATTGTACGAAAAATCGCGTTTTTAGCTTGTGGACCCTATAGAGGTCATAATTTTTATCCGATTTAAAAAAACGTATTATTATATCACCATTACACCCTAAGGTAGGTTGAGTTCGAATTTCGTGAAAATCAGCCCAAAATTGACAGACAAAATGGCCGCTGTTTGTTCTCAAATAGTGTAAAAATATGGTATATCAAGGTTGTGGACCCTATAGAGGTCACAATTTTTATCCAATTTTGTTGAAAATTGAAATGTAAGTTTATAACCCAAAGATCTCGATTCCTTTCGATATTCGCGCATATCGAACTGTAACTTCCTGAATTATGGCCCCTGATTGTACGAAAAATCACGTTTTTAGCTTGTGGACCCTATAGAGGTCATAATTTTTATCCGATTTAAAAAACCTTATTATTATATCACCATTACACCCTAAGGAAGGTTAAGTTCGAATTTCGTGAAAATCGGCCAAAAATTGACAGACAAAATGGCCGCCGTTCGTTCTCAAATAGCATAAAAATATGGTATATCTAGGTTGTGGACCCTATAGAGGTCACAATTTTTATCCGATTTTTTTGAAACTTAAAATATAAGTTTGTAACCCAAAGATCTCGGTTCCTTTCGATCTTCGCGCATATCGGACGGTAACTTCCTGAATTATGGCCCCTGATTGTACGAAAAATTGCATTTTTAGCTTTTATCTGATTTAAAAAAAAGTATTATTATATCACCGTTACACCCTAAGGCAGGTTGAGTTTGAATTTCGTGAAAATCGGCCCAAAATTGACAGACAAAATGGCCGCCGTCGTTCTCAAATAGCGTAAAAATATGGTATATCAAGGTTATGGACCCTATAGAGGTCACAATTTTTATCCGATTTTGTTGAAACTTGAAATGTAAGTTTATAACACAAAGATTTCAGTTCCTTTCGATATTCGCGCATATTGAATTGTAATTTCCTGAATTATGGCCCTTGATAGTAGGAAAAATCACTTTCTTGTTAGCTTGTTCTCTATCCATCTCTCGAAAATGTGGGCGTATCCTGCCTGGCAGCCGCTGGTATATATCAAGCTGGATACATATAAGCATAGTATAGATTACAATACTAAAGTCAATCTCAAACCCTAGCCAGCCAGACTCGATATGGGCGAGTCTGCTGAATGGAAACTTCTACATCTTTACACTTCAAGAACCAAGCTGCTGTCTAACGAATTCTCACAAATATGATAGTTTTGTAGCTTTTGGATTTGGATCTTCAATTATCTAATTGGTGAAATATGATGTAAATAATTACAGAGATTGGTCAAATAAGCCAAATGATGCAATTGTAAATTTCCGTCACATGTTTTTCGACACAATCTATCCTTGAACTTAGAACCCATTTCCTGTTATTCTCACGCTATTTCACAAACAATTAATTTGCGTTTTAAATAAACTCATACCATAGCTACTATACTGACATTAGAGAATAATTTGTAAAGATAAAAAATGTTGTTTAACCCATCTTATTTCTCTATTCCTTGTCTATAAATTTAAAACCAATATTGCAACGATGATAGTGCTACACCTCCCGATGGGTTCACATGGCTCGCGATGCCCCAGGAGCTCCCCCAGGACACCTGAAAATCTATTCCCGACGCCTTCTATCTTTAGTACATCGGCAAGGCAAAAATTGCCCAGTGGTACCTACGCATTACATAAGACAATTGTAACTAGCTTAATATGCTTTGACAAGTGTCACTACTTGAAATTGCGCGACTTATTAATATTTCAACTGTTGA